TTGGGGTTGTAGGAAACCACCAAGAGGTGACTGCTCTCTTTCCTCTCCTCAAAGTCAGAGGAGCCCGGACGGATCTGGACCCGTCTCTGTATTGCAGATTGATGTAGCCTTGTGGGAAATCCTCCACCACCAACTCAAATCCAAGAACCCTGGTGTCAGCTCGGGTGTTGTTGTAGTGCAATTTGCAAGAGTCCTATCAATGTGAATATTTTTATTCAAGGGAGGCAAAGCATCAATGCATTAAAATAGAAAGTATGGAGAATCTGATTTTTCAGCTGACCTGGTCTAAGAGGAAGCCTGAAGGCAGGTTGCAAGAGCTGCACTCCTTCCCCCTGACTTGTCCATATCGACATCGAACTTTGTCCCCATCAGGATCAAAAGACGTGAGCTTGTATGTCCTGGGGCAGTTCTGAGGAACTCTTGAATGGACACGATATGATGAGTTAGTAAAAAAGAGTTAAAGGTCGAAAGGTTCCAGGGATCTGCAGGAGACTTACCGGAGGAAAGGTAGGATGGCGATGTCTGGGGATCTGTTTGGTTGCTTGGTGTCAGACCTTTTTCCCAGATCTACCTCAGTCAGCAGATGCCAATTGCGAACCGGATTGGCCGCACTCACCCAGCAGCAGCTATCTGCCCTGGTGTGTGTGGAGCAGATCGAGGTGTGTGAACATGACTGTTGTCAACGAGGGTTGATAAATTAGTGAATACATGTTAAGAGCAGGTGAGGCAGTTTTATATATGAAGCACATCTCATACACAGAGGAAGATTCAATGGTGCTGCACACATTACCAACAACACCAGGACAACATTCGGAGAAATCAAGTCAATATATTGAACACAGTTAATATTAAATATTTAGTTCTAAAGCTATACTATAGACTATAGCCTGTAACTATAGCAGGTAACTATAGCAGGTAACTATAGCCTGTAACTATAGCAGGTGACTATAGCAGGTGACTATAGCAGGTAACTATAGCAGGTAACTATAGCCTGTAACTATAGCCTGTAACTATAGCAGGTAACTACAGCAGGTAACTATAGCCGGTGACTATAGCAGGTAACTACAGCAGGTAACTATAGCCGGTGACTATAGCAGGTGACTATAGCCTGTAACTATAGCAGGTAACTATAGCAGGTGACTATAGCAGGTAACTATAGCAGGTAACTATAGCAGGTAACTATAGCCTGTAACTATAGCAGGTAACTATAGCAGGTAACTACAGCCTGTAACTATAGCAGGTAACTATAGCAGGTAACTACAGCCTGTAACTATAGCAGGTGACTATAGCCGGTACTTACCTCATCTGAAAAGGTTTGTCACTTCTGACATCAGTCGTAGTGATGGTTTCAATCTCACAAGTGTGTCCATATCGTGATACGTTGGCGTTGGCGTCGATATAACCCAACTGGGTTATAGAGACATTGCCACAGTTGCTCCCGTAACAGTGCCACCAGTGAGTGTAGCCACACCACCTGAACGTTGACCTGCTGCGAAGGTCCACCTGCAGAGAAAGATCACACTGAACACTGTGCTTCCAGGTGGTTGCTCCAGGTGGTTGCTCTGCTAAACTGAGGAAAATGAGATGCAGCGCTCACATCACTTCCTCCCTTCAGTTAAATTCAGGATTGATTTAAGATTCTTTAACTTTTTTTTAAAGCTCAGGATGTTCTGTTCACAGAGCTACTAGCTGCTTTGCTCCAACATTTTCCAACCAACACCTGCCACCTGAGGCCGGTAACTAAGGCCGGTAACTCACGGTAACCAAGTTTAATTCATGTCGTCGTTGTATTGTAACCTTGCCTACATAATTGCTATAGAAAAACAATTAGATTTTGTTCCAAGCCAATTAGGGGCAAGAGTCAAAAGTTTAACAGCATCCAAATCTTTAAGAATTAATAATGTAAAATTTATAAAATTACTATAATAGTTCCAATTTTTTTGTGACCTTGATGCTGAACTAGAAAATCAAACAAAAGAAATAAAGTCCACACAAACCAAAGAAAACCACAATAATGAAGAAGAATACGACTCTTGACATTGTCTCTATGTCATCATCGCATCTCTTACCCTAAACGTTCCATCAGGGTTCTGTCCTCTGTAGGTGTAGGTCGCCATTCCCCCAAAGTTATGTGACGCAGACGCCAGTGAGACCAGGAGCAGCTGAAGCAGTAGCACCTCTGTGGAAGCCATGGTGCAGCGAACTGGTCTGTGCCCGGGTGCCTCTCATCCACCTGCAGCATCTTTATATACTGTTGACTGGAGTAGATGGAATGCACATTCGGATTGAAAACAATGCAGCACCTGCAAAACCAGTTTGACCATTGAAAAAAAAAAAAAGTAGTTTCTCAGAAATGAGAGTTTGAATTTTATGTGTGTGGAAAAAAACAATTGTGTCATATATGTGTGACACTGAGCTCAATTTCACCAGTTGCAAGCTCTAACGATAGATTAGAAATCGTCCGAGCGGAGGAACTCGAACGTTTTCGTGATGAAGTTAAAGTTTTGAATGAACTCCCTGACTGTCAGAGCAGAGCCTGCTGCCTCACACGTCTTATACAAATCAAACCACAACATAAAAAAGTTAGAACATATATATCTTCAATATTGTTGAAGGTAAACGGGAAATTGAACGCACTTTGTTCAGCCCAGTGAGACAAATTGTGATTTGTTAATATGGGCTATACAAATAAAATTTGATTTGCTGGTTGTTCTTAGTTGGATGTGGTATGGCAATGATATTATTTGGTTTATTGGTCAGATCAGTGAACTGACGGCCACCAGGATCATCCCATCAGCGCTGTCCGTCAGGAATCAGCAGCCGTCTGTACAAACTGGGTTTAAATGTGATGATTCATCTAAACGTTCAATATTCTGTCCTGAGAGCAGGAACTTGGGCACATGTTGTTTTTGCAGTCGTACATTTTCCCAGTATTTGATTGATAATTGATAATTGATAAACAGGGTGGTAGCTTCAAGCAATAATACAAACATTCAGGCCATAAAATTGTAGACAAAAGTGAATCTTTATTTTCAGCATTGGTTCAGACTTTGTTGATGCATAATGGTCTTCTGTAGTTTTCTTTGTTTCTTAATTTGCGGTTTCAGGTTACAAAGTTGTGCTCGACAAGCACCCATTTACCGTAAGTGTCTGAGATCTAGGAGGAAACAAAGGCTCAGAACATTCCACTGAGCCCAGCAGGATGCAGTGACAATGTTTATTGAAAGAAGGCCATTTTTAGACCTTATTGTTTTGGCGTGACCATGTGACAGCTCGGTTAACCTGAATATCTTAGACACACCTGGGATAAACCGACATACCTCAATCAATCTACAGTCAGTTACGGGAAACAGCTCGTGTTCTTGTGAAGACGTTACAGCTGTGGTCGGCGCAGCTGATCGGAGGCTTGAGAAGATTTTAGACGGGCCGGGCTGCTTGTTGAGCCACGAGGCTGTGACGAGGTCACTAAACTGAACAGATTTGTAAAAAGATGACCACACATCAGCTTTTAGCAGCAGGACTGTGCCACTTGGACACAAGCATTTGACTAATAGCGGATGAAACTAATATAAATTAGTTATTTTAGATGCGTCCACATTCCAAACCTTACCAGGTGAGATTGACATCAGCTGTCATTAGGAAGGTGTGTTGCTGTCAACACACGGAGCCCTGCCAGGTTATGATGCACATCACTAAAGTGTCAGTGTTCACAGATGTCTTTATCACTCTCTGTGACCAGCTCATGTCAGAAAGACAAAAGGCAAAGTTATCTGAAATGCAAAATATCATCTTGACCGGATCAGGGTTTCACTGAGTCGAGAGTTATCACATCACATATCTTTGTGGGAGCTGCATGCAACACATTTCTTTTCCAACTCTGTTGCACGTTGGCTGACCTGGTGTTTACTGTGAATCACCCTCTTCACACGAAGAGAAGCAACAAAATCAAACAACTCTGACATGAGAGCGGGAGCGAGCTGGCTGAGATATCTGTGAGTCTGACAGACGTCCTCGCCTCATGACCAGAAACTTGGCAGCAGCTGTTTCCACCATGAAGCCTCTTACCGACCGAGTGTTTCAGGATAAAAGTCCCTCTTGTTGCAAAGTTGCAGAACTTTATGATTAACAATCCAGTTAAAATCCAAGAATGAAACCAAACCTGTCAGAGGACACGGACTGAGTACTTTGCTTTGGCAGCTCTGATGTGTCTCTGAGGTCCGAGCCAACATCTTCTCTGTCCGTCTGTCTCTCTGTCTGTCTGTCTCTCTCTCTGTCTGT